ATTTGTTTCATTGCAAATAATTATAATATTTAGCTACAAATTAAAAGTATTTATAGCAAGTAATTTCAATATTTAGCTATTAAGTATTAACACACAATGTCCATAGCAAATGAATTTCATATATAGATATGACTTCAATATGTTCATAGCAAATAATTATAATATTTAGCTACTATAAATGGTTACGTAACTAAAATGCTAATATATTTTTCGTAGATATTATTTTTGTAGCCGAAATTTTCAAGTTTTAGTTATAAATTTAAATTTGTGTAGTTAAAAACATAGCTATACAGACTATTCTCCATGACTATAAAGGCAAAGCTTTTGTTACAAGCTTCTTATTATTATGACAAAAAAATTTAAGTTTTTAGTTACATATTAATCTCATCCATAGCAAAAAATATATATTGTTAGCTACGTAAGTAAAAAGTTGTATGGTTAACTTTTAGCTATGCCACTTCTAGTTACGATAACTTACAAAAAATTGCATTTGTAGATAAACCATTTAGTTATGCAAATTCATATGTTTAATTACAATGAGCTCTATGGCTAGAAATGCATAATGTTGTAGTGCAATTTCGTTTGAGACAAGGGTTTCTATATAAAATTCATCGACATCTTTACCTAATTGATGTAGATTTTTGTATCTCATTTCACCTATACTCATCTTGATTTTACTTCACATGACTCTTTTTAGCGGTATAGTCTCTAATTTTATCATTGACCTAGTCCAAACTAAACGGATGCTTGCTGGATCCACTATTATGCAACACCACAAAAGTTTTCTAAGCTTGACTTAAAAGTTTTAAGATCACTATCAAGTCATTAAGGTCTTTGATAGGATCCGTCCCAACCTTCCCTGTCTTATAGGATCTAGATGCTTCTATAAGACTTAGTTGACCAAGACGTGTCGTGTGTGAGATTGAAAAACCATTTTTTACTAAACTAAACATATTTCTTCAATGATATCCCAGTAATAATAGGATATTTTTCTGATAAGAATTTTCCTAAGCCTTTGCAGATAATGTTCTTTTTCCTGTTTTCTCCTTTTTACTAATCACAGTCATATACTTTTAAGATTGTTTCACTTTTATTCATCTTTGTTTCACTTCTTAGGACTTACTGTAATCACCAATGTCATTGACCTAACCCAAACTAAGCGGATGCTTGCGTGATCTACTTTTTGGCAACACCACAAATGTTGCCTTCAAGACTTAAAGCTTAGTTGTCACGATAGGAAAGAGAAATGACTATAAGGAACCAACGATTTTCTCTTCTTAAACAACCTATATCCTCCACACTTAATCAGCATTTGATAGATTATCCAACCCCGAGCAATCTTAGTTATTGGTTAGCTGGTATTTTTTAGTCATTCAGATAGTGACTGGCATTTTTTCAACTATACATTACACACCTCATGTGGATCTAGCTTTCAACAGCGTAGAACACGTTATGAGAGATGTTGAAGGGGGCTGGTTGCTCCGTTATATGCATGCCAGCAAGTTTGTTTCTCATTGTTGTCTATCTTCATAGTTTTGGTGGTCTATATCATGCGAGTATCACTATCTAGTCAATTGAGCTTTTGGTCTTAGGCACTCATTTTCAAAATGCATGTTTGAATATTGTAAAGTATTGTTATGTTCCTCTAAGTAAATGACTATGCTTTGATGAATTTTGTTTTCTTGGAAAGAGAAACGATAGGTCTACAACCCAATTTCATAATCTTCTCTCATAACCCTCACCATGATATTTTATCATTAATCAGCTCGCAAAATGGGTTCTGCTTGCTTCTATGGGTCCTGGCTATCCATTTGTGAGCTAACTAATAATAAACTATTACGTTAAAAATTGTGAGAAAAGGTTATGGACCTAGCATTATTGTTCTTGGAAATCCTAGTGTATTTTACCAGTAGCTAGTAATGATAATTTGTTAAATAAACTCGATTATATAGTTTAAGAGATAACTTTCAATCTTTGGATCATGACCTAAGGGTAGATCCACCTATAGTATCGAAAAAACGTTACCTCATCTAAACCATTAAATCATAGATGTTAGATGTATTTCTTTTAGGATAAATAACTCCAATAATGTTACAAAGATAAATATCATTTCCTTTGTCCTTGTGTTATATATACGGCCTAGATTTTCCCTTGAATTAATTTTTTGAAAGCAGAGCTTTCGACTTTTGAAACTCAAATGTATAATAACGCACAATCTTGTATATTACTCGGTGAAGACTAAATCAGCTAAAGGAATAAAGTCCTTGGCAAAAATCAACAAAATGGTTCAGCTGATTCTCGACTCAGGTGGAGGGTCACTAGATGTGTTAAGAGGCCAATAATTAAGAGAACTTAGCTGGTCTGAAAGGTTTTTCTTTTTATTTATTTTTAACTAATGATTTCGTTTATTTTAATCATATGCTATAAAATGAAATATTTGTAGTTTTGTGAAGACTTCCGTATATTTGGGTTTAAGTCTTGATCCATCATTTTCTATTGGCTTAGTTTTAATTGTAGCTTTTACTAATTCAAATTCCATCGGTTGAAGGATATCAATTTCTTTTCATCCCACTTACACAGTCTAAGCGGCTTGAAAAGTAGACAGTGATCTCCTTTATAAAGAAAGTTTATGACAGTAAAATTTCAAGGTATATTAACATAAATTTTCCAAAAATTGCATTAATAAAGCAGGTAATTTTTGGATTTTCTGCGTAGAGATAACTTTTTTACTTTAGGTTAATGTCTATAATGTTCCTCTTTGTTACTTTGCCTCGATTTTCTTACTCTTTCTTTTATATTGGATGATTATTATATTTAATTTATCGTAAGATTTATTCTTAAATATAAAATTTAATTAGCATGGTTAGCTTGTATAGTCAGGACAATGAGTCAAGTCAGCTGCCATGTGGAATCTTTGCTGGTAGTTAAGTTAGTTTGGTTGTACATATAAATAACGTTATTTTGGTGTTTTTATTACTAGATCTCCATTTCCAATATAATAATGTTGGAGTTATCGACTACTTCAGCATTATTGGGTTACGCAAATGCATTCGGGGGTCCCTATGACTTTGGGAGTTCAGCAAATGTCTTTGTTATTTTTAACCTTACATATGTTGCTAATAGGGAATAGCAAGGAGTTGATAAACTCTATGAAGGGTTTGTTGGCTGCACAATTTGACATGAAGGATCTTGGAGCTGCAAATTTTATTTTGGGTATGCAAATTACAAGAGATCGTCAGAGTTGCAAATTGTGGTTGGGGCAAAGAAAGTACATTGAGGAAGTGTTGAAGAAATTCAACATGGTAGATTGCAAACATGTGAAGACTGCTATGACTTTGGGAGTGAAATTGTCTACTGATCAATGCCCTAAGTCTGAGAAAGATGCTGAAGAAATGACACATGTGCCGTATGCTAGTGCTGTAGGTAGTTTGATGTATGTCATGGTGCGCACGAGACCCGATATTGCACAAGCAGTGGGAGTTTTAAGTCGTTTTATGTCAAATCCTGGCAAGGAACATTGGAGTGCCGTAAAAAGAGTTCTTAGATATCTACGTGGGACCTATGATTTAGCATAATGTTATGGGGGCATGGTGATTGGGGATGAGGTAGAGGTGACAGGTTTTGTGGATGCTGGTTGGGGAGGTGATCTCGATAGTAGGCATTCTACAAGTGGGTATGTATTCACTCTATTCGGTGCTGCTATTTGTTGGATGAGTAAAAGGAAAAGTACTATGGCTTTGTCATCGATTGAGACAGAATGTATGGCATTGACACATGCTGGCAAAGAAGCTATATGGCTCAAAGATTGAGTTTAGAGCTTGGTTTCAAGCTCGATGTTGTGAAGATAGGGCGTGACAATCAAGGGGCTATTTACTTAACCAAGAATCCTGCATTTCATTCACGATCAAAACACATTGATATACAATACCATTTCATTAGGCACAAGGTGGAGGAAAAATTTGTGTTGTTAGAGAAGGTTGATACACTTATTAACGTTGCAGATTTTCTTACCAAGGCTGTGAGCTTAGCGAAGTTTATATGGTGTGTTGATGAGGTAGGCCTTCATTGTGTGAAGTATTCGCCAAGTTGGAGAATGTTGGAGTTGTCGACTATTTTAGCATTATTGGGTTACACAGATGCATTTGAAGGTCCTGCTATAAAATTTCTTTAAGTTATTAATTTATTCTTGGGTTGGGCTTAGGAATAGGAATCCTTGTAAACTAGGTTTACTCACTTAAACCTAGTATATAAACATACTTTTCTCTTGTTATGAGTGTGATAGCAAATCATAGGGCAATTCATTCATTGTAAATGAGAGAGAGAGAGAGAGGTGAGGAAATATTGTAATAATATTGACCTGACTGGACGTAGCCCACATTGGGTGAACCAGAATAAATCACGCATGTTATTTTCTCTGTGTTTATTATCTGTGATTTGCTTTATTGTTGTTTTATTCTCGTTGCTGTCTCTATTTCGTTCAAATAATAGACGATTGGAGAATTACATTATAAAATAATGGATGTTAAAACATTTTACTAAATGCCTAATCAACTTTAGGTTCTTTGAGAATTCACTTTTAAATTATGAGAAACAACTCCAAATTAGGCCTTAAAAATCTTTCATACGAAAACAATTTTCAAAATAATATCCAGGAACTTTGTAGCTAGTGCCAACTGCATTCTTCCAATGAATAACTAATGGAGAATTTGAGATACTAGTCCCTCTCAAGTCTTAATAATATTCATTCTCGAAAGATGATACTTTCATTAATAGGTAATGCAGAAAATACAAAAAGTTTAAGTAATACACTCTCCCAAGCTACATGAGATTTCACCATAAAATTTAATTCCTGAAAGATAAGTTAAGTTTCATGCTCAACTAGTATGCTGCCAGTAATATTGTTCCCTGCATCTTTAGGATGAGTATTTAATCTCTGACAAGCTAGATGAGATTTCACCATAAAATTCATTATTGTTGATATCTAACATTTCTAGCTTTGGTTAGATGCCAAAATCCTCATATATATTTCCAACAAGTTTGTTCCCATTCAAAACTAGCATCTCTAGCAGACTCAACTTTTCAAGTTCTTTTGGAATCTCTCCAACTAGAAGATTTGAAGAAAGATCAAGTCTACTAAGTTTTGTTAAGTTTCCAAGCTCAGCTGGAATGCTATCAGTAATTTTATTAGTTGCAATCTTTAGCATGCCAAATTTTGGACACTTTGCCCAATTAGACGAGATTTCATCATGAAAATTATTTTGGCTGAGATCTAAGTACTCGAGGTGTGGATAGATGCCAAAATCTTTTGATATATCACCAACAAATTCATTTTTTTTCAGGAAGAGTCTCTTTAGGCTTGTGCAATTTCTCAAGCCTTTGGGAATTGGACCTTGAAGATGGTTGCGTTTCACTGTGAACCTCTCAAGTGAACCACCATGACATATATTATGGGGTAAAGAACCAATGAAGCCGTTCTGGTCTATTTCCAACATAACCAAATTCATGAAATTTCCAATTTCCTGGGGAATGCACCAGAAAGATCGTTATCACGAAGGAATAAGATCTTTAAGTTGCTCAGATTTTTAAAGGAACTAGGAATAGAACCACTAAGTAGATTTTGGCTTAACTCTAAATCAACAAGGTTTGTCAGGTTTCCTATTTCAAGGGGAATAGAGCTAGAAAGTTGATTATTGAATAAATGAAGATTAAGGAGATTTCTCAAGCCACCAAGAGACGCTGGAATTGAACCTGAAAGATTGTTGCTTTGAAGACTAATGTTAGTGAGAGACTCCAATTTCCTAATTCCGGAGGAATGGAACCAAAGAGTTGGTTGTGGAACATGTATAAGACTTCTAGATTTGTAACGTTTTCAAGACTTGAGGGGATTGGACCAGTTAAGCTATTGGTATCGATGTAAAGTTCAACTAGATTCAAGAGGTTTCCCATCTCTAGAGGAATGGAACCAGAAAGTGAATTATTAGAAAGAGACAACCAAGCCAAGTTGCTCAAATTTCCCAAAGAAGTAGGAATTGAACTGTCCAAGCGGTTACTGTAGATAGCCAGTTCAATAAGAGAACTTAGCTGGCCTAATTCTTCTGGAATTGAACCATTCAACTGATTCTCATCTAGGTGGAGGGTCTCAAGATTTGTAAGGAGACCGATTTCAGTTGGTATTTTCCCAGAAAATTGATTAGTTTGCAAGTCAAGATACTTCAGTTTGGAGAGATTACCAATTTGTGTAGTGATAACTGCAAAGAGTTCACTTATGCTAAGATCAAGATATGCAATATGAGGAAATGATGAGAATGACAATTCATCAAGCATACCTTTTAAACTTGCAATAGACAAGTTCAATCTACGGATGCTTCCAGCATGGTCACAAGAAACTCCAGATCAATTAGTACAATGGCTTATCTTGCTTCTGTGTTGAGTAGAATTATTGGTAGCATTAACAGGATAAAGAGTCCATGAAGGGAGGATAGAATGGTCGTGGTTTTGAAGGCTGGCCTTCCATTTGAGAAGAGTTTGTGCTTCTTGAGTAGAATCAAAAGCAACATTTAGCTGAAAATGCAGCACAACAAAGAGGCTGAAGAAAACAAGGGAGAGTTTATTGAGGGATGAGATTGCCATTGCTTAAACTAGCTAAGTTTGTGCACTGCAGAGCCTAACTGGGAACTCCATATTTATAAACAAAATTTGGAACTCGAAGAGCTTCGAAAATGTCAATGCACCATCTTTCACTCAAGGTTTTTGTTGCTTTTTAGAGTCAAGCCTACGTAGAAAATGGTTTCATGCAAGTCTTTGATGTGGATATAATTAATCTTCTTTGTTCTTTATCCAGGATAAAAGACACTCTAGGATCTTATATTTTCGCAACAGAAAATCCTGATTTCTTCACCAGGAGATATACTGAAGTAAAGAAAAAATGCAAGAATAACATTAACTTTCTTTCACCCCTCAATTTGTATCTCAAACTTGTTTAAGACAAGGGTTTTTGTATAAAATTCATTGACATCAGATTTTGATTCCACATTTCACCTTTATTCATCTTAATTTCACTTGTCATCAAGTTATAAAGCCTTGACATAAATAAAAGCTACAAAATCACTATCAAGTCATCAATTTAGTTCTTTGTACTATATTCATTTTCAAAATGCATGTTTGACTATTGTACTGAGATTGATATGTTCCTCCCCGTAAATGATTGGTGAAGTAAAGTTGGAAAACACCAATGAAGATGGTAATGTTACCAGGGGAAGATAAATAAGTTAACCCTTGGACTGTAATTTATGAGTTCACTTACAGTATTGGAGTAATATTACTGATATGAATCATTGGATTATCATCTCCAGACATATTTTTTTTAACAGTATCCCAGGGATTGGATAGTTTTCTGATAAGACATATAGTTTTAAACTTGTTTCACCTTTTATTCATCTTGACTACACTTCTAAGGACTTAAGCGTATAGTCTTTGTGAGTACAATTTGTGTCATTGACCTAATTACCCAAACTAAACGGATGCTTGCATTATCAGCAATTAGGCAACACAACAATTGTTGCCTTCAAGACTTGAAGCATCAAAATCATTACCAAGTCAATTGAGGTCTCTGTCTTGCACCGAATGCCTGCACTTTCAAAATGCATGTTCGAATTTTGTAAGGTGATTGTTATGTTCCTTTCCACAAATGACTCCACCCCTAGCTAGTATTGTTAACGGGTTAAATACTCTCGAATCATATGGTCTAAAAATATCCTAATCAACCTTTGAATCATCAACCAAGGGTAGATCCATCTATAATACTAAAATAACATTACTCAGTACTCTGAAAATATTTCTTTTAGTATAATTGATCCCAATAATTTTATAACAGTAAATATCATTTCCTTTCTCCTTATGTTATATATGGCCTAAATTTTCCCCTTAATTTACTGGTTGAAAGCAAAACTTTTGCCTTTAGAAACTCAAAAATAATAAGTTATTTTACTCTAGAAACGAATTTGGTCCATTGCGAAAATTAACAATATAGTGTTTGAGATATGGTTAATTAGGGAGCCTCTTATATCCTATTTGGTTTCATTTTTATTTAATTTTATATTTCAAAGAACGACAAAAACCTTTTAATTGATCTGTTTTATGATAAGTTTTTAAGAAATAATAATTTAAAGAGCAATGTTGTTTGACCCCGCTAAATTTCTTAAGATACCCATGTTAATAATTCTTTTAGATTACAATATTATCGTTAGTCAAAATTACATTAAAAGGCAAATTTAATTTTAAAGTACCTGTACACCATTTTTTTTCCTTTAAAAAATTATTTTGCAACTATTTTTTTTTCAATCATGAATTTTTTTTAACAGTTTTACTTAATCATCATGGGTTATGAAAGAATTTCAAATAGGTATTTATAATCATCGCTTTATGTAGACGTAAAAATCTACCTATACGGAAGGGGTTCTGATCCCGTGAGGTTGAGGCCACTAGCGATCCGCTGCACCTGCACACGTAGATAAACAAATGCGTGAAGCGAACGGAAAACAACGGGGTGGTGTTTGCCCTAGGCACTCCGACGCTCAAGTCAGCAAGGCTGAAAGAGGCTAGTATAGTGAGGGCTAGGGAGTAGAGAGGTTATCGGAAGTCTAGTCGAGGACTGTGACCATGACGATGATGTGAAGCTCTCAAGTAGGAGCTTCGGGTGTGAAGGTGTAATGTAATCTCCTCTCCCTTGTAAGAGGGATGGCTTCTGCTTATATAGTGACTGTCTAGTCTCCCAATCCTAGTGGGAGTAGGAGTCCTAGTGTGACTCTGATACAAACTCTAGAGGAATTAGGGCAGTGGTGAGCTGTCGTACCAGTGTTCGAATAGGAAGGTAATCTCGAACAGGAAAGTAACCTGGAGTAGAAAAGTGACCTGAACAGGAAGGTGACCTCGAATAGGAGACTGATCTAGAATAGGAAAAGTGATATATGGGTGCCGTGGGCTCTGGACTTGCTCGTAGGTCCAGGAAGTGAACTCGGATTTGGAGGCTCGGACCCGATGGTTTGGGCTGACTGTATCTCGTATCAAATAGGCCTAATCTGGATGGGGTCGCATCGGGATTGGGCCCGGTCTCTTCCTCATTCAGTCTTGTTTTCCTATTTGGGCCAAGGACGATTTTTGGCCCTAACACTTTATACACTGCTATTGAATATATGATTTTAATTATAAATTTCTTTTGTAATTAAATTGGGGAAATTTTAATAAATAATTTAAAACTTTTTATGGGGTTTAATTAGAAGTGGGGTATTGTTAGATAAAATATGGGGTTTAAAGAGCATCACTCTGATTAAAATTGCTTTGCAACTTTTAATATATATTAAGACAAGTTTATATGATTTTTCAACATTTTAAAGTAGCTTTTTTTTTTTTTTGGTTAAATAATGATTTTCTTTATTTCTAGCCATATACTATAAAATGAAATATTTGTAGTTATGTGAAGATTGCCGTAGATTTGGGTTTGTCTGATCTATCATTTTCAATTGACTCAATATTAATAGAAGCTTTATTAATTAATTTTCTTTGGTTGGATGGGTATCAACTTTTCTTTAAGGTCCCCACTGGATATGGAGGAATAATTCAAACTGTACTACTTCCAAATTCCAATTACTAATTAAATTTTCTTTACACATAATCTATTCCGTTTGAAAAGTAAAAGAGTCCCCACTCACAAAGAAAGTTTATCTACCAGTCAAAGGAGCTTATATTTTTCATATTGTTTTATTATATTTTAAAAGTGTTTATTGAATTCAAAATAAGCTATTTTCCGACTTATGGGAACTATAAGCTTTTTTTGAGCTTATTTAGAGTGTTGAAATTTCATAAGTATCGTTATTATATTTTATAAATTTGACTTGACCTATTCTTCTTTATTAAAGCTCTTTTTGATAAATTAATGCTCAAAAGCTCTTTTACATTTTTTCTAACCAAACAACTAACAAGGCTATATTTTCGTAAGTTCAATCCCCGATAAACTATATTTGAATAAGTTTTACCAAACAGACCCTTAATTAGCATGGTCAGCACAATTGAGCCACAACTTCATGTTGTAAGCTGCCATGTGGAATCCTTGCTGTGATCTGCACCAACTGGTGGTGAAGTTGATTATTTTTTGCCATGTTTAGAGTGCCTAATTGTTGAAAATTTCCACATATGGGATCTCATCATAAAATTTGTTATAGATCAGCTCTAAATCCCTCAGGTTTGGATAGAAACCAAAGAAATTCAGATATATTTCCAACAAGTTGGTTTCGTCCTAGGAGGAATTTAACCAGGCTTCTACAATTTCTCAAGCTTTCAGGGACCTGGCCTAACAAATGGTTGTCACTTGCATTGACCTGAACCACCGCTGCAAATAATAAATCCAATATCTTCAATCTCATGAAATTTCCAATTTCTTGAGGAATGTAACCCAAAATATTCTTGTTTCCAAGGAATAAGGACTACAAGTTGCTTAGATTTTAAAAGGAAGAGAGAATAGGACAACTTAGTTGATTCATAGTTAACTCGAGATCAAAAAGAGATTTCAAATTTCCTATTTCCGTTGGAATAGAGCCAGAAAGTTGGTATATTGTTACAAAAATACTACCAATTATGAGGCTAAACAATGGCAAATTTTAAAAATAAATAATCTACGTAAACCTTAACACCACTCAAAAATATGATCAAAATTAGGCCCTGGGCAAAGACCTTCACCAGCATCACTGACTAGAACTGAATGAGGCAATCGCATCCATTTCCTGCTGTAAAAGAATAGCATCTATGAAGATATCCATATTCTCTCCCTGCATCACATCATTTATTGCATGATGAGTGATGCTAACACGACGATCCATGACACGTCCTTGAGGGAAGTTATAAGTACGGATAAACTCCGATCTATCACCACTAACAGTCAGTTTACAGTGATAAGATCTCTTCATTGTTCTGGAAAATAAGAAACAAAAAGCAATAAAGCAATAGTAAACTTGCTCATCTTCATCTCACAGTCACTTTTACCTGCTCGGATCAAAGTTTTGATCGACTCATCTGAATTCTTAACCTTTCCATTTCATACAGCTTTGCACAGAGCAACTTAAGTGCTTTAGCTTTGATCTGTTATAAAGATCAAAAAGGCAAAAGAACAACCATAAGGGAAGAAAAGCCAAAACAGATGACGCAAAAGTACCCAGCCCACTGATTACTATACATTGCTTAATTAATACTGAGGGATGATACTTCAACGCAGCTATCCTACAGATATGATATTAATAAATTGCACATGATTAGAGTGTAATAGTTCAAGATCCATTGCCTGTAAAACTACATTGTGGATAATTTAGATAAATATTGAAATACATAGTCCTAATGATAAAAACTTGTCCAATGACCCCTTTTCTTTCGTATTTTCATTAAGTTGGCACATACAATAAAACTTCAACAAGTCATCTTTCTATATTCCATAACAGGACAATGAAAATTGAGGGAAACATAACACTTGAACATAGGCCTTACTATAACATGTTATGAAGGAATGGTGATCAATAACCTGATCCAGCCAGCATATTTTAATTGATTATTCAGGAATCTCAGTAAAAAATCATTACCATATGTTG